ATATATATATTTTTTTTTTTTTAGCAAGTTCAATGGGGAGGACATTCTCCAGCACCTTCAGCCTTCTCTAGGAAGATGTAAGTATGAATATCTTTTCTTCCTGACACCCTTCCCTCCAGCACCTTCTGCCCTTGGTCATTATTTTTCTTTCTTCTATTTGCTTCATTTGTTATTTCTCTCTAATACTTCCTGACTCCTTACCTTTGATTTGTTTCTTCTGAAAGATGATTAGATTTGAAAAAGATTTTTAGACATTTCTTGTCAAATCAGTCTTATCTGCATATTAGCTTAAAATGGTTTTAGACAACTGCCCATGTGGGCCGAGGCCCGGAAGCTGGGCCCAGGTGTCATCAGTTGTCTCGAGCTTCTGCTTACACACTGTGTTGTTCATGGTGTTTCCTGAGGACCAAGGGCACTCACCACTCCCTCTCCTGGACATTTGTACAAGACGAATGAAAACAGAAAGCTTTAAAGGAAATAACTTGGTGTCTTATTCAAACACATAAGACTGAATCCAATTCTGTTTCTGCCTAGCAAAAAAGTACTATTTGCATGTAGGAAATGACTATTTGCTGACTGACACTGATGTCAAAACAGATATTAGGAAACCGTATTCCTCTTTCCTTTCACAAAAATGAAAGATACAGATAAATTATGAAATGAAACAAGATAACAGGCTTTATTTTGTACCGTAAATCATAGTTGAGCAATGATATTAAATCCATTCAGAGACTATAATCTCCGATTTGCCAGTAGACCAGCCAGAGAAAGAGGTAATGACAACGAACCAGATTCCTTACACAGAGGGACAACCCAGCCATAAAACACTTAGAGGAAAAGAAAACAATGATTAAAGTGGAATTAAAAACCTGTCAAGAACAGCATGCCTACACATACGTGGAGCTGAAGTCGGCCCAGTTGTTGGGGGTTGTGGAAGGCTCTGCAGAGCTCACTGCCAAAGGAGCGGGGGTCTCGCGCAGTGCCAGCTTTGGGGCTGGGGTGGATGTCGTATCGGTTGCTGCTTTTCCCGGAGTAGGAATCTCATTTTCTGAGATCTTCTCTGCATAGTTTGCAGGGAACCATCCTGTCTTTCCTTTTAATTCTCCTCCAAGCCATCCTGGCTCTCCAGTCTGGCTTTCGTCTACCTGCAGGAAAGTCCCAAAGTTAAATTTCAGAAGAGGTGAATCAACCACTGGATGCACCACACCCCCTGCACAGCAAAGCCCTGAGCCTCTGCCCCTTCAGCTTAGTGCTGGGCACCTTAGTCTAAAGATCTGGAAAAATGGCCTCCAAACAGTAACCCTGAAAAAATGGAAAGCCCTATAATTCAAGTTCTTATTCTTGGTCCTTTTTAAACCCTTTTCTTTCTTTATCTAAAGATGGCAGTTAAGATAAAGTACCTGAAGCCCTCAGGCACATAGCTTGAATTTTTAGAGTTATTTTAAATTGGAAAGTGACCTGACAGGCTCCATCACTCAGGAAGTCATGGAATTAATAAAACGAATGTGACAGGTTTATTATTTAAAGTTGAAAGCAAGGTGCAATCAATATAAATGTAAGTACTGTAAGAACCGCCAATAACCAAGCTGTATTTACCCAGCATAGGGACAAGGACGATAAAAAGCACAGCCTTAGATGGTTTCCACAGGAAACAAAGTTGACTGCTGGGTTTAGTCCTTTAAAAGCTCCATGGACCGATGATGAGAAAAACTACAAAGTGATTATTGGCAGCAATAATATATTTTACTAAGGTCCTAAGGTGATTTTTTTAAACAAATTTAATTTTCATATTCACAAAAGTACATGAGAATATATGATTCTGCTTGTTTTAAAAGAGCTATTTATTATACCAAGAATTTTTAACGTTTGCACTCAATTTTGACTCAAAGGGATCATGCAAAATGGTCAGAACGGTTCTACTTATCTTTACAAGTTATCTCCACTATTTTATGAACAACAAAGCACAACTCAGGGGGATAATTACATTCACTATTAGAAAATTATTTTGGTGCTGATTCTATAGCCTATGGTTAAGGGAGCTATATGTCACATCGCTGATCATGGTTCAAATCCTGGCCCTAATAGCTTGAACAACATGCCAGGCACATACGTGTGTGTGCCTAAAATCCAAACAGGATGGAAAATGGAAGAGAAGGGATTGTGGTGCGAACACTCCCCATAGAGGATGCATTTTTCTCTCTCTCTGATGAGTGCATGTGCCTTCTGATGAGAGAAAGAAGAAAAGGAAGAAAGAGAGAGAGAGAAAGAAAAGAAGGAAGTAAGAAAAGGAGAAGATTAATTATTGGGGCCAGCCAGTTGGTGTGGTAGTTAAGGAAGCTGGGTCCCACAAGCCAAATGCATGAGTCTTAGACCCTGCAGCTTGAGAAGTGTGCCCAAAATCTCTGAGAGGAGAAGGGAGTGTGGTGTGGTCAACCCATTGAGGTGCTTTCTCATTTTCTCCCTCTATCTCTGTTGAGAGCACATCCCCTGTGGCAAATAAATAAATACATTATTTTCATTACTTTAAGTCAAGGGTTTGTCAGAGACCCTAAGTTATATTCTCCCTTTCATCCATATCTAGGAGGTAAAATACCCAACACTTCATTGGGCATTACCATCGTTTTATAGAAATCACATAAACTAGTAGGCAGGATCTTAAACAATGACTTTGAACAATCTGGCCAAAATACTGGTTGTCTACTCCACTCAGGTATTCAGTAAAAAAAGAACAAAACAAAACAAAAAACTACTACACCAAACATCTACCTGTACTTAGTATAGAGAGAATAGAGTGTCACTCTGATCTGCTTATTTGAAGAAACAATTTAGGGTAGGGAAGGAGAAAGTAGTAGGTAGGCTTACTACTTAATTCTCCACATTACTGACAAAATATTCAGCATGTATAGGGTTGGTGTTGGCCGCTCCATCTCAGGGAGCCTTTATGTCATGAATAAAAACAATTTTTGAAGTTGAGAATTCTCCAAACAACCAAAGAAGAGTTCCTGTGGATGAAGTGCAAGCAAATGTCCATAGGTTTTGTTTTTTGCTTCACAGTTTGGTCATTCTTGTTCACACGTCATCGTTTCGTTGCTCTCTTCCTTTTTCTGGGCAGCCCCAACTATTTCTCTGCATGAGGACTGAAGAGGACAATTTTTCCACTTGGTTCTTCTCCATGCTAAACTCAGATAGATGGACGCTTTTCCAGCCTCGTCAATATTTACTGGAGTGTTACGGACACACTGTAAGTCTGCAGCTGCTCTGCACTGGAAACATAGCTGCTTCTAAGCTAGCACACCAGGGCCTCCTCCACTTCAACAGATTCAGCAGCCAAGCCCAGTCCTCTTCTGTCTAGGTCCAAAGGTGACCTCAGGCAGGAGTGAGTTAGGAGCTTGAGTCAAATACGAAATAGCTTAGCCTCCAGATTCCAAAGTGAGAGGGACCAGCAGGTGGTGTGGTGGTTAAAGTGCTGGATACTCCCACATGGCCGACCATGGTTCGAGTCCTGGACCTGGTGACTTGCTGTCTCACTTTCCCTCTCTCTCTTTCTCTGGTTAAATTAAAATAAATGAATGAATTAAAAAAAAGAAAAACAACAACAACACTAAGACCTGTATTTGGTAGTTATCCTTGTAAAAAAAAAAAAAGATTCCAAAGTGGAATGATCAAGAATAGGGTTCTGCAAACAGGCTGCTTTGATTTAAATACCAGTTCTACTTACGGCAAATTTAACCCAGATTCCTAATTTATGAAATGAAGATAACAATACCTGTCATATTATAGTGGCTATGAGGATTGATAGATCTTGAGACCATTGCCAAGGATATGAGAAGTGCTTAATGACAGATTTTTGTAAGCCATCTTTCCTGGTGTCCAACTGTGACTTTGTGCTATTGTTCTCTTATCCGGGTTTTTGGTCCTCTTCTAAAAAGCCTGCCCTCCCTTTTACACTCATTCTAGGCAACAATCTCTTTGGTTCTGTTATGGGAGTTCCCTGCTTGGTACCCTGGGTCCCTGTGGGTTTGCCTTCTCACCTTAGCAATCCTTCAGGGGCTCTAGATGCTTTCTGATCAGTGCGCCTGTCTGGAATGCCAGCTATCCAATTTGGCCCTCTTCAAATGCCAGCTGCTTTACTAAATTATGTCCTATCTACTGTCATCCCCTTGAGACACAGGGTTTTCTCTGGTAAACAAGACTTTTAGCAGACATCTGGATTTGGATCTGAAACCCAGTGAAAACATCCTACCAGATAAGCAGGTCTAGCTCCCATCCTAGTTAACTGATCTTACCTTAACCTGCCCCCAACATGACAGAGAGCTGCTACAGTGCTGTGTACTCTGTACTCAGGAGTTGGGGGGTTGGTTACCCCAACCTCTTAACTCTGTAGGCAAGAGCTGCTCCCAACCCAAAGGGCTATAGTAACACCAGTATTTCACTTTTAAGTAGGGAACTTCACTGGTTTCATCAACAGTGCAAACAAGTCTCAGTGAGTTTAATTCATTCTTATAGAGATCTACCAATTTTGATGAATTATTACATTTTAATTTTAAGATTCAGATAGCACAACGAAAATTCACTCTTGGGCTGGTCTCGTGGTCTAGTGGTTGAGACCTGATTCCACATGGGTGACTGCATGATTAGAATTCTAGCCTCAGTGCCTTGGAAAACACAACAGGTATGTATGCATATGAGACCCAAAGTCCAATGGGATGAAGAAATGAAGGAGAAGACTGTGATGTGGCCATGTCCCACTGAGAGGTGCTTTCTTCCTCCCTTTCTCTCTGTCCCTCTCTGGCAAATGTACATGCTCACTGGCAAAAAAATGAAAAAGAAATAAAACTCCACTCTAAACATCTAAATGAAATCAGCCACTTAGAAAATGCACAAAGGTCAAGATGTGAAAATGAGAAATCTTTCTTTCTGGGTTTGGGACACTTTACCCATAATGCTGATCCAATTTGGGGGAAGTATAAGATTATGGTAGATCAAGAAGTTAGGTACACAAACTTCTTTCTGGTGTGGTTGGCTATAAAGTGGACTTTTATATAAAGTACGTTAATCCACTGTTGACTATAAGGCAGATTTTATTATGAGCAATCTTGGTGTTAAATATAATTTCATTAGGCAAGCAGGTGTGTGGTGGCTAAAGTGCTGGACTCCCACATGGTTAATTATGGTTTGAGTCTTAGGCCTGGCGGCTTAAAAAATCACATCAGGTGTGTATGCGTGTGTTCCCAGAATCCCAGGAGGAGAGTAGAAGAGAAGGGATTGTGGTGTGGCCATCTCCTGAAGAGAGTCAGTGAATTCTCACTTCCCCATTGCCATCTCTCTCCAGTGAACACGTGTCCTATGGTAATAACCTTAGCAGTGTGTGTGTGTGTGTGTGTGTGTATTAGGTTGTTGGTCAGGTCATGGCATATTTTTCTATACAAAAATGTATCATGACTTTCCACTTTTTTGTGTGTGTACACACACACACAAAAACACACACACACATATATATATACAAACACACATACACACACACGAATTTCATTTAACGAGGTCCACAGAAATACCCTTAAGGATTTAGAGATGATTCTAGCGGAACCTCATTAAGGTGAAACACAAACTCTGGGTATCACTCATATTTCTGGAACTATTTAACAGATCTAGTCTATGAAATGATGGTAATTACACACTGCATATTGTAGGTTATGGTGCAAGTCACAAGTATACAGCAGCCTTTGGACGAGGTATTATTCCTCTTTATTCAATGTTTGTGTGTTCAATGCTGCCATCTAGATAGTGTTACTTATTTAGAAAATCTCTGACTTTGTCACAAAGGAGGGAAATAGAAATTCCTTCTCTCACAGAACACGACTGAAAAGAGGTTTAAACTGTGTACCGACTCAGATCAGCCAGTGGTGGCTGCCTGGGATGTGTTGTGGGGGGTGGGCAGCAGCCTGTATTCATGGATTTGCCAGTGTTCAAATACAAGGTTCTCCCAAAGTGAGGATAGGGGGATATTAGACGTCTTCTCTAAAGCTTTAATCAAGGGGTTGACAAATTTGCTCTCTGTCATAACTGCTCATCTGCTATTGTACCTCAAAAGCAGCTGAGGACAGTCTGTAATGAATGAGACTGACTGTGTTCCAGGAACACTTTATTACGAGCAGGAAGTAGGCCGGATCTGACCCACCCCTGTCATCCCAGGTATATACTGGTCTCTCCCCACAGCAGTGATGTTATTACAGCCAACTATTACTGAACAAGTTGAGCTCAGATGTGAGCTTACAAAAATTTAAGAAATGTAGAGGAAAAAGTTAATGACCACACTTAAAAAAATTATTCATCAAGAGATATAAAAGGAAAAACATACATTTGAATTGTTTATAAGAGTAAGAACATACATAATTTCCAGAATGGATTGACTGGCTGATGGCAATATTTTCAAGAAGAGGTTATTTTCCAGAAATGATTTAGGACTAGTCCTGACAGGAAAAAGAGATTAGGTTGATCAGTGGCTCCTGAAACTGACGCCCTAACAAAACCACACAGAGAGAATTTTTGAATATTATACATGAGCTAAAAGTTCTCAGATGGCATGGTGGTTAAGGCACTAAATTCCCACATGGCTGACATCAGTTCAAGTCTCAGATGCAGGGGCTTGAAAATCACACTAGGTGCACATGTGTGTATGCCTGTCTCCCCTGTGGAGATGACTTTTCACTTTCTCTCTCTCTGCCTCTCCCTCTCCAGTGAGCACACGTATCCCATGGCAGCCCCCACCCCCCTCCCCAGCCAAAAAAAAAGTTTCCAGAATCTCTGGGGTAAGCTTTGACATGGTTACTTTCACGAAACTGCCTAAGCAATTCTGAAGCACTCAGAGTTATACCAGTTCAATGACAAGCCTTTAGACATCAGCCATTGTTCTTTTTTTTGGTGGGAGAGAGGTTTTTTGCTATAGGGTCCATGTGCTCGCCAGAAAGACAGAGAGAGAAAGCAAGCAAGAAATCACCCCCTAGGGAGGGGGGGATGGCCACATCGCAATCCCTTCTCCTCCATTCTCCTCCCGGGATCTTAGGCATGCATACACATGTGCACAGTGTGAATTTAAGCCTCCAGGTCCGAGACTTGAACTGCAGTCGACTACATGGGAGTCCAGCAACATAGCCATTATGCCAACTGCTGGTGCCACCATGTTCTTAAGACTAACCTCAATAGCACTGGGCAGGGGGCTTCTCAATGCTTACTTTCTTCTAATAATAATAAGTGTTGGGGCCTCTAGATCAGAAGACAAGTCATATTTTCTAAGTCCCTAAGCCTTGATTGGAGATTTGCTTCCACTAAGAAGTCTCATCTGGGCCAGCAGGTGGCATGCTGATTAGGGTGCTGGACTCCCACATGGCCAACTGTGGTTCAAATCCTGGACCTGGTGGCTTGCTTTCTCACTCCCCGCACCCCTTTCCCCCATTTCTCCTTACCCCACTGTCTCTCTCTGGTGAATACACACACACTATCGCAAATTAAGAATAATAAATAAATGAAATTGAATAAATAATTAAAAAAAAGAAGTCTCCTCTGAGCATATCAGTTCACACAGATTCCTTTCCTCCCAGCAGAATAAGAACTTCATCAAATATTTGCTTTCTCATGTCTTTCTCCCAATTTTTCTAAAAAGATTTCAACCATATGGATGGCAGATACCATCTTATACTTTTTTTTTTGGTGTTAACAGCATTTAGAAGAGGACTACATATAAACCATTATATTAAATTTTTATTAACCACAAAAATTTTTTTTAAAAGATAATTAGGCTGATAACCAAGCTTTCCCAAAAGTAAAAAATTTTAAAGTGCCCTCCCCATAACTGCTCTAGAAAATAGGAGCCATCCTAGCACAGTGTCAATGCAACACTGCAATACTGGGCCCACACTGGAAGGCCCTCACTTTGCACCTTGGGGTCTCCCTGTGCAGGCTAGGTGCATGCATACACACACACCTATGATCTGGGCTTGCAGAAGCTGGGGATGGATTGCAGTGTGAAGACCCTGTTGAAAGTGGCTTGTCTCTCTCACTCTTGTAATATATTTCTCTCGTGGAAGAAATAAATAAGAAACTAAAAAACAAGTGCATTTGCCAATTTGATTTACCCAAAATGAATTTGCATTAAAGAATAAAAAAAGGGCCAGCAGGTGGCATAGTGGTCAAGACAGCTGGAACCCACATGGCTGGCTGTGCAGTTTGAGAGTGGACCCAGAAGCTTGAAAAACAGGCCAGGTGTACGTGCATGTGTATGTGTCAATAAAATCCTGAGAGGAGAAATGAAAGAGAAGACATTATAACAGGGTCAACCCAAATGGGGTGGGGCATCGAGGGGAGCTATCTCGCTACCCCTCAACCTACTCTGTCTCTCTCAGGTGAGGGCACATGCCCTCTAGCAAATTAAAAACAACAACAATGATGACAATGATGAAAGACGAGGAATATTGTTAGACTTCTAAAATCTAACATGTATAGTTAGCTATTTTTCAAAGGTGTTTGAGAAATGTAATCTGATGACTGAGATTAGAGCATCCACAGTCAACCAAGAAACTGACAGTAACATTCCACAATGTATTTTTCAAGCTCATGTTTCTTAACTGTAAACTTCGTGAAATAAAAACACTGCTATTACATATCAGCTTCTATCTTTTTTCCTTGATTGCTATCTTCATGAAACTAAAAACAAGATAATTGAATGGTACCTGGAGTGTCACAATGCACTTTGTAGTACAAAACGAAGACACTGCTGGCTCTTTGGTTAGCCAATAAATAACGTTTCATAAAACATTCCACAGTTCATTGCATATTTGGGATGTCTAAGATAAAGTAAATATCATTCCAGTTGCGGGTAGGCATTCTCTAGTACACATGTCCTTAAAGTTGGATTTATTTTTTGTATTTTATTAAAAAATTTAAAATATGATACATTTATAATAATACAGAAGTACATAAAATTAAACATAAAACTCACTCTTTACTGCCCAGTGGTAACCACTGATAACAGTTTGATATATATGATTCAAAATGGTTAACTACATATATATATATAAACACTTACATATACATACATATAGTTTTATTTTAAACTATAATGCAACTGTACATATTGTTTCTGCTTTTGTAAATGGAGCTCTTCCTTGTAACTGTAACTCTGCATAAGTTTTAAAACATCTTCATTATTTTGTTTAGCTGTGTCATAATTTACTGAAATTGCCTTCCTATTGAAGGACATTGGGTTGTTTCTTTTTCTTCTTCTTTTTTTTTTCTTTTTCAACAATGCTGCAGTAAATATCCATGCACACACTGCTTTACATACAGGGACTTCAAAAAGTTTATGGAAAATATATATAATAAAAAAAGCCATGCATGGCTCTCAAATTTTTTTTTTTGTACAAAAATAAACTCATGCTTTAATTCCATTTTTCCTTTTTGAAGTCTCCTTGTATTTGTGCATGGGCCAAGAAAAAGCCTCAAGGAGGGAGAAAAACAGAATTTCTGGATCAAGGGAAATGAGAATTTGAGTAAGTATTGTTAAGTTGCTTTCCAAGTGGCTTATAACAAATTTATACAATCATGCTGATAATGCCTATTATGTCCACTTTCTGATACTCTTAACACACTTCTAGGTTTGCTTATTTGATAGAGGAAAATTGCTACCTTGTTTTTTTTCTTTTTAAACTTGCATTTTCCTGGTCACCAAAGAAATTAAGCATTCTTCGTGTATCTTTTTAATCACTTACTTTTCTTTATCTGTGAATATCCCTTTCTGCTCTCTGCCAACTGATCTAGTGGGTCTCTTTCACAGTAACTGTTTGGAGTCTTTATATACTGCTACTTTATATAACTCTTAGTTTCTTAGGCAATTTTAATACAGAAATTTTAATTTTTGTATATTGCCAAATTTATTTTCATCTTTTATTGCAGCTGGTTAGAAACTATGAAAAAAATCTCTCTTAGTCAGAACATTATTTGAATGAAAAAATATTTCCAGAATTTTATCTTTTCAGTTTAATTTTCACTTTTTTGGTCTATGCTTTGAAATGGAGACTCGACATATCACCTGCAAAATACAGAGCCTTTAAGCTAGTCCTTCAGTGGGATCTGGCAAGTAGAAACCAGCACCCAAATGCAGAAGATTACACCTTTCTTTCTTTTATTCTTTCTACAACACAACCTACTGTACAAACTCAAAACATAGTTTTACTGCCACGACAACACCCAGATACGTGTACTTTCACAGAATGCAATTTGAAATGACAAACATTGAATAAGATGCAGACTTCCTGACAGGCAGCACTTACCCATTCCCCTTTAACCTCCACCAGGAAAGCAAAAGTTTGAAAGCAAGGCAAAATATATGTTTAATGAGATGTTTTATTCTTACAGCATATCTAAACTCTAGTCATCTAAACAAGCTGGTGGTTAGCTAGCCAACTCGAGGAAAAGGATTCAATACCATGTAAAAGGACTAGCACTACAGAGGTGGGCCTGCGCAGGTTCCCCCAAAGAGCAATACATTCTCATTAAAATCGAGATCACCTGTAACATTTCCTTATGATACTATTTCAGAACGTTTTCTTATTTTAAGATGAAAGCATTATTTTTCTGTACCTTGTGTTGCAACAAAATCATTTCATGAATACTAGGTTTCTATACCATAAAAAAACGATGTAATGAGGCTCCATCTGATGTCACACAGTGTTTACAGAATGTTTAGATTTCCACTATTGCAAGGTATTTACATATTTTACAATCGATCTGCTTTAGAAGACACTCTATCTCAAAGACGAGACAGTCTGAGTAAAACACTTCAGGCCATTGGAAACCACCACGCGGAAGCAGAAAACAGTGCGGACAGGAGAGCTACCTGAGGGGTGGGCACAGTGCTTGGCACACATAGCCGCCACCGCCCAGCATCGCTGTTCACTGTTCCCGGGTGCAGAGTGCTGTGCCCACACTTAAGAGAAATCAACGGTTCTTTCTGCAGAGAATGATAAGGCTGGCACCCAGCATGCACCAGGCCTTTGAAAACTGTGCTTTAAGGAGGGCTCAGAATACATCTGCAGAGGTGTCCCTATTGTTATGGTGATTTGGACTTTCGAAGATTTGGGCCTTTGGCCATGACTCCTTTAGCCCATGGTCAAAGCAGAGAAAGCAGCTATCAGAAAACAAGGAATTTCTGAGGATTAAACACACTGTTCTTTCTCTCTGTTCTGGCAGTTGAGATATGTCCTACAGAGATATGATGTAGACGAGCAAGATGAATGCATGAGTCATACTACAAGGACATGCTCAACACCCTTTTACACCCCACAGATACAGTCTAGCATGAGAAACGTGTTTCAATTCTTCACTTCTGCAATTCTGTCAAAATTCAGAACCATCCCCATCTTTAAAAAAAATTAAGGGTAATACACATGACCTCGTCTAAGACTCTTATTCTTAAATGAGTAATTCATGTTTTCTTTTTGGAAAAATTTAGGCCAACCACATTGCTTTATTTCCTTTTTTAAGCTACTTCCTATAGTTCTAGTCATAATCATAATATTAATTATTATTATAGTAAAAGGAAATAAACTACAAGAAAACAAAATTCTAATTTTTTTTACTGTTAATTTATAAAGTAAAAGAGTAGATAAACTCTATTTGAACCGTTACTTTTACATAATTCAAAATTTACATAATTAAGGGGGAAAACTGATGCTTTGACCCAAAGATACAAAAGTTGCCATTGGCAATGATGAGAATGATGACAGTGTATTTTGCATTTAAAGCTATTTCTTCAAGATTCCTGGCAGTTTACACTTAGTAATCTAAAGCCTGAAGTTATTGCTTACAGATTTAAAAGCATGCTAACGCTGTGATGAGAACACTTACCTTTAACAATTCTATTTTAAAGTGATACTAGAATATATTTTAAAATTGCCTTCTTTCATTCTAATAGAAAAGGGAAATGATCAAGCTTATACTTCAGAAATCTAGCTGCTAGAATACTGGATTTCATGTTTGCCAACAATTTCACAATTGCTGAAAATGTGCAAAAAGAGGACAGATACTGATCAACAGAAACGGCACTCTCGCCGGAGTTTCTCTTACCATGACTATGTCTCCGGGCTGGATGGTGATTTCATCATGACTCCGGGATTCAAAGGGGTACAGTGCTCGGTAATACACCACTTTCACATTCTCCTGTGCAGAAATGGTAAGTGGGCCCTTTTCTATATACAACAACAACAACAAAAAAGAGGGTGGGGGATAAGTAAAACATTACAGGGAACACATCTAACCACAAGCCAAACAACTATCATCTCCTCTACTGCCTGCCATAACATCTGAACTCCATCCATCCATGCAAGGGATTTCTGAACTACATACTGAAGGCCAAAGAGCCGAATCTGACGTCAGCAAGTCAAACCCATTAGAGAGTTCCTCAGTGGACTCTCCCTGAAAAGGTCATTCCAGTGCTGAGTGCCACGAGGTTGCTGAAGATCCCCTCTGTCTCCTGGCTTGGGAACTAGCAGCTCACATCTGTAAAGAATCAACACTCTCTCCTCCGCACCCAGGGTGTTGAGCACGATGCAGCAGTTAGGCTCTGACCCAGAATCTGAATCAGTCAAGAACAGCACTTGTTTGGGAGGGGACAGAGAAACACAACTTTCCATATTAAAAGACACAGAAATGCTGATGTTTTAGGCACTTAACATGCTCATAAAATCCTAAGAGCAGATTTCACCAAGAATGGTTACCACTGACAATTCCTAGTAAAGTAAGTGTTCCTGTATAATTTCTAGAGGGAATATAAGCCTAAAGATAGATCCTATATAAACCTAATTTAGATTTATAAGTACAATAAAAACATTAACAGTGTATAGGAAGAGGCTACTTTGGTTTCTGATGAATACTGCCTTTTACCAGCTCTTTGAGTGTCTCCACCCATAAGTTAGAAAGCAGGAAGGGTTAAGCATGCGGTCCTGAAATGTGTAACATGGAAAAACTGCCACTGACTGGAGGAGAAAGAAATGGTCATTTTATACAAGGAATAGGCACAAGAAACTCAAACTAATTGTCCAAAATTGAGGTATGGTGAAATTATTTTCAAATTATAAAAACTATTACTAGGTGCCTGATGTTGGTACATCAAAAAACATGCTTTGTGAGGTAGCTGCACATGGGAAGATCCATGGTTTAAGTCCAGAGACCTTCCAGAGTATTCCAGATAATTGTGTGTCCATATTCTGGAGCTGGCTAAGGTTGAGGGTGTATTACAGTGTCAAGACCCTGCTAGGGGTTCCCTTTCTCATTTTCTCTTTTCCAGGGAGGAAATAAATAAAGACATTTAAAAAATACATTATTGCTTGTATCTAATATTATTTAAGAAATAGTCTCTCCTAACTATAAATATTTCAGTGAGATCAGTCTTTCATCTATCTTATTATTATTTAATTTTTCCCAAATGGTGCCTGCACTTGCCAAAGAAAGAAAGATAAAGCAAGAAAGCACCCCCAGAGCAGGCAGGTGGCATGGTGGGTATAGGTGCTGAATTCCCACGTGGCTGACTGTGGTTTGAGTCCCAGACCTGGCATTTTGCTTTTTCACTTTCCCTTTTTCTCTCGGTCTTTTTTTTTTTTTTGGAGAGGTTTGTATTGCTATAGGGTGTGTGTGCTCGCCAGACAGATAGACAGAAAGCAAGACAGAAAGCGAGAAATCACCCCCAAGGGGGATGGCCACACCACAATCCCTTCTCCTCCATTCTCCTCTTGGGATCTTGGGCACGCACGCACACGCGTCTGGCGTGAGTTTTAAGCCACCGGGTCCGGGACGCGAACCACGGTCAACTACATGGTAGTCCAGCGACATAGCCATTATGCTAACTGCTGGTCCCTCTCTCAGACTCTCTTTTGGTTAAATTAAAAAAACAGCAATAACAAATGGAATTAAATAAATAAATAGTTATTGGGGTGGGGAGCCCCTTTAAAAAAAATAAAAGAAAGCACCCCTTATGGGGCACAGTCACACCACAATCCCTAATCTTCTATTTCCCCCTTCTTTCTAGGATTTGAACTGCAGTCAGCCATGTGGGATCCAGCTGTCTTAATCATCACACCATCAGCTGCTCTTTTTTTTTTTTTAAGAAGCAAATTATGTTCAAAGAGCAAAACACTGTCATACTTTTCAAAAGGTGAAAAGACAGGGGCAGTGGCTAGCACCTATAATCCCAGAGAGGCAGGAGGATAGTGAGCTTGAGGCTGGCCTGGGCAACAGGCCAGGGGTACTAGCACATGCCTGTGGCCACAGCAAGGAGGCTGGGGCGGGAGGATCACTAGGGGGAGAGACCCTGTGTTAAAAAAATTAAAATGTAAAAAACACAGTTTTACATGGAGTGGACTAAAAATAGTGAATGTCACATTGGTGCAGGCAAGGGGGAAAGGTGCCACTTCCTACTGCAGATACAGCTCAGGAACTCCCAGGGAAAATAAACCAGAGGAGCAGCAGGTTCTCTCTGCAGGGATAGGTTAGACCTCCATTTGGAATACGTTTGGAATGCAGGTTATGATCGGGGTCTGAGAATTCAAGGTCACCCACTTGTGTGACACACTGTTAACTCTGTAGAGGACTCCTGGATGTCGGTGTGCTGAGGGTCGATGGCTGGCACAGTGGTGGAGAGTTACACAGATTGCTAGTGGTCCTGGAGAACGAAGAGCGCTACTGCCCAGGACAAGAGATGGAGCTCTCAGCTCTGTGGAAGTAGCCAAGATGGGCCCCGATCAGACAGGGACAGTGTTCCAGATGACCTGGGAGAGAAGATGACTTATATTTGAGAATTGTTTTTGGCTTCCGATACCTGCAGTGGACCAGGGTGCCTGGACGACTGGCTTAGCTGGTTCTTGGTGTTGATGAAAAAGCCGGCTCATCTTGTCTTGAGCTTCCTGCTTGCCTTTTTCCTCCGCATCCTTCTTCTTGACACTCTCTTCCCTTTTCAGCTTTTCCTCCTCATGGAGTTTCCGTGGCCGCTGATGTTCATCCTCCTGCTGCGTGTGCTCCAACCACTGCTTGTCCCTTTCCTGAGCTCGTCTGCCAACAAGAATGCTTGATTACAGCAAGGAAGCAACTCCAACCTAACACAGTGTTGGCTCTTTTTACAAAAAAGCTCCACATGGTCAATGTGATGCTAAACGTCAAGAATGATTGCTCTTCAGCTGCAGCAACTGAATCAACGAAACAAAGGCTTTCAAGCTCTAATTCTGGGTAAGACAAAAATCACATGATTTATGAAACATGGCAAGGAAATTTCCAACACATTTTATCAAGTGGATACAAGAATCAGAAAATCATGTCTCAATGTTAAAACTGGTATTAAACTACAGAAGTCATAAAACACATAGGAACACAGTTTCTCTGCAACTTAATGGTGCCCAACACTGCAAATGAAACATTGCTTAAATAAGTCTATGATCAAGCAGATTCTTAAAATTCCTCCACAGTTAAGGGTATGCTACATTTACATGCACATATGGTGCTCGTAAAAACTAAATTGGGGGGTGGGGGTAGTTGCCAGCAGATGGCATAATGGTTATGTCACTGGACTTCCACATAGTCGACTGTGGTTCAAGTCCTGGAACCAGTGGTTTAAAACTCAGGCAGAGTGCATATGTGTACATGCTCAAAATTCTGTGATGAGAATGGAGAAGAGATTATAGCGTGTCCATCCTCCCGGGGGTTGATTTCTTGCCTTCTCTCTCTCTCTCTGTCTCTGTGGCATGTGCACAGGCCCTATAGCAAAAATCTTGCTGGAAAAAAAGACAAAAAACAAAACTGAACTTAGGGGCTAGATGATCATGCGGTGGTAAAATGTATGCTCAGGCTGACCCAGTTAGAAGATTCCAGGTTCATTTCTAGAGACCTTCCTGAGTATACTGGGAACACATATGCCCACAATCCAGGGATGGCTGCGGCGAGGAGTGGATCACAGCCTCAAGACCGTATTGAGAGTGCTTTTCTCGCTCTCACTCTCCCTGTCTCTTGCTCACAGAATAAATGAATTTACTTTAAAATAAAAGAGGAAAAAATCTCTGAAGTTGAAACCAAGGGATTTTACAGACTTCATTTTCTGGTATTTTTTGTTTGTTTTTCAAGGTAGCTGACAAAAATAATTGGAATAAATCTAGGGCTTTCAAATTATGGTGGCCTCAGTCTGAAACCACAGGGTATGACTAGGGATAACTTTTCTCTCATTTCTTAATACTTTATAAAACCAGAAAAACACTTTAAAAGAAATTAACATGCAGTAACAAATAATACAATGATGACAGTAACCAGCTCTCCATATATGAACTCCTTTAACCCTGACACCAGGCAAGTAGGACCTATTATTATCCTCGTTTCACAGATGAGGAAGCCAGGGCAGAGGTATTAAATGACGTATCCAAGCTACCGCCATGCATGCTGGGGTTCAATCCCAGATGGCCTATGTCCCGAGTCTATCCTGAACCTCTCTCCTGGGACAAGGCCAACACAAAGGTCAGGTCTTGGAGTTAAGAAATTGCCATGGGAACATAATGTAAACAAGTTCATTTTTATTCCCCATCATCAATAAATTAAACTTGGGTCCATCAGGTGACTGGATCAATTGAGCAGTTCAAGCCCCAGACTCAGTGGCATGAAAAACACACCAGGCATATATGTGTGTGCACCCAAAATCCAGTGAGGAGAAGGGATGGCCATCCCCGCTGGGGACTGATTTCTCACTTTCTCTTTTTCTCTCTCTCTCCAGTGAGTGCATGTGCTTTATAGCAGACTAAAAAAAAACAAACAAATAAACAAACAAAACAGTATTCCTTAAATGTTTTCCTTACAATTTTAAAAATGTCTTTTAAAAAGGCTTAAAAATGTGTGTTTCTCAGAGGGAATGTTTCTCACAGGAGGAGAATGGATATTGTTATATAACAACAAATATCCATAAGAATTGCTTTAAAAGTTTTTACCAGTAAAACTCACCATTTCTACTGTACAGCCTATTTTCCAAAGTTAAATTTTGAGTATGATTTATCCATAGAATCAGAATATGTAATATTACAGGTATTTTACATTTATCTTATGTTATTTTCTATATTATGACATGTTTATTTCTACTCTGTAAGAATATAAAAGTTAAGCGTAGTACAGTGTGAAAAATAAAAGCATTTTGTGGGACCAGCAGTTGGTGTAATGGTTAGTTTGGAGTCGCTGGGCTCCCATGTAGTCAACTGTGGTTCGAGTCATGGACCCAGTGTCTTAAACTCCGCTGGGCGCATGTACATGCGTGCCCAGGATCCCAAGAGAAGAATGGAGGAGAAAGGGATTGCGGCATGGACATCTCCCTGGGGGTGATTTCTCATTTTCTGTCTCTATGTCTCTCTTTGTCTTTCTGGCAAGTGCACACGTCCTATAGCAAAAACCTGTCCCCCCCCCAAAAAAAAGCAGCACATTGTAAATTCGGACGATAAAAGGATTAATTGACAGATCCAAGGAAGCAGTCTCTAGAGCCGACCCCATAAAAACCATAAAACAGTGCTCTAAATGAGTTGATATCTCCAACTTCCTCCCAGCTGACATTTAACAACAAAAATATAAACAAACATGGTTCGCTCTATGGCCTGGTGATTAAGGCAGCCAAATCCCACATGCCAAGTGTATGGTTTGAGTCCCAGAGCTGGCGGCTTGAGAAATACTCCAGGCACGTTCAAAATCCCCAAAGGAGGGAGAGAAGAAGAAGGGATTGCAGTGTGACCATTTCCCATGGGCTGGGGCAAGGGGGGTTAGCTTTTTCTTCTCCCTCTCTCTCTGGCAAGTGTACATACCCTCTGGCCAAAAATATCCCAAATAAACACCCCCAGACTCAGAACACTCTACATACCCATAAGCTTGCACAGCTCTGAGCAGTTTACACAACTCAGCTCAGTAAAGTTAAAGACTTGCCTTGAATACCTGTTTCTTCTTTTTACTCTAACTTCAGGCAATTTTTACAATTTACAGCATATAATCGGGACATTCAGTCATTTTTATCTTTGTTGTCTTGGAGTCTAAAATTAACTGAAATTTAGAAAGCAAATGTCTGATAAAATCAGACACACCACAAGTTAAGAAATTTCTACAGTTTACTGCGGAAAGTCATAAGTAAAAATAAAACTGCAAACACGAATACCGAAACAAAACCAGACAAACGTGTCTGCCTTCTAAGCAGAATGCAGCAGTGGTGCATTTTTCTCCTTTCATACTCAAGGTTAATTTGTGGTTGGAAAAAAGAAGGCAGAGTGGCTCTCTCTGGTCCTGTCCAGTGAGAGTCCAGTGCGCAAGCTAGCTCTGGGGCCTGATTTCAGAGCAGCCGCTCTGACCACCACTGGTATTAAAAGGCTGTGAACTGGAAACCCATTTTGGTCATTAGCATGCAAATGAGCACATCTAGTGTCCCAATTTCCTTGTATAACTCGATTTATCTACAGAGTAGCAGCTCAGGAGAGCTATGGGAGCTAACCAAAAACTTCAGGGGGTACTAATATATGCAGAGATATATACACATGTTTGTGTGCGTGTGACAGCACACACACACACACACACACACACACACACACACAATTAAAGACTGAAGGCTCTTTCTGGTGTAGTAACTAACTACTTCCAAAAATCAGGCAAAGAATTGTAAACACTCCAAGTTCTTTGCAGATGGGTCCTTAATCCACTGAAAAGACTCACCTTTGGGCTTCTTCTTTTTGTTTTTCTAATTCTATGATCTTTCGCTCCTGTTCTTTCTGTTTCAGTAGTTCTGCTTCTATGGACTTTTGTTTCTGGAGTTGCTGCTTATTATGTATTTCCCTTAGTTCCTATAAATAATGAAGAAGCAGTTCATGGGATGACACGAGGTGATAGGCATTCCGTTTTCAGCATGCAACATTTCATTGATATGCAGCATGCAACATTTCATAGTGGGGAGGTCTACGACATTCACAAGATAGCATTTCAGAGTTGAAAAAACACTGACTGAGAAAGCTAAACGCACCCTACATTTCCCCATGACTGACTTCCAAAGGCTGCCTAAGAGTATATTCTAGCGAACCATCACTCGTTATACTTTTTCCCATTATGTGCTTTGGAAGAAATTTGCAGTGAAGGGCAGTTGCGGAGCTAACCTGCTAAGGGCTCAGTGACAATAATGGGACACAAAGTCTCAAGATGTGACAATGATGATGAATCACAGAGAGTTATTTTGATAAGGAATCTACACCAAAATCTACTGGCTCTGAAAATACACACAACTCTTCATACACTAAATCCACTGAAACCTCACCTCTTTATGATAGACTGTCTTAAAACAATTAGATAGTTTTCTACTCCACGACCCCAGTTCTTTCCCCAGGGACTATTTTTCATCAAATCACAACTCTCCCAGAGCATCTTCTACTAACCCTAAGTATGAAGCTGCCAACTGTCTCAAAGTCAGCCAGGAGTCAGCTGCAAGTATAAACCTGTAATCTGAAGATCACCACTTTGGATCCCATTTCCTACTTTGATACTAGCTCCAGGAATAGCAGTAATTTCCTTAGCAGGCTACTGAAAATAAAATGTGTTCTATGATATTTAAAGCACTCGAGTCAGAAGTTTATACACTCAGAAGTCTGGAGAACAAAGAAATACCCATAGAGAAAGAAACTCTCTGATTCCGGAGAAATCAAATGGTCACCAAAAGATTCAGCTACCAAAACTGCCCTCACCTGGGTCAGTCAATGTGCCAGAAGAGTCACAAATGCTTTTCCAGTTGACTTCCTGGTCTAGCTAGGGCTGATTCTGACTGGTGAGACTTAAGGACTGAGGTCTGCCCTGCCTTGAGACCCTAAAGTCCTACACCTTTAGACTCATTCAGAGATTGAATGACACATGGAGAGGGATTATCTGTAGAAGGTCCATGTTAAAATGTACTCTTTACAGAAAAAACCCTAAAGGCTGGGTGAACCTAACCTAGAATCTTCTGATGGTTAGATCACACTGTAAACTATAAACTACTTTGGGCGAGCAGGTGGTATGGTGGTTAAGGGTGCTGGACTCCCACATGGCCGACCGAGGTTCGAGTCCCAGGCCTGGCGGATTGCTTTCTCCACAACCCATACTCTATCCCTCTCTGGTCAAACTAAAATAAATAAATAAATAAAGTTAAATAAAGTAATTCTTAAAAAAAAAAAAAAAGTCCTATAAACTAAGAAACTCTAAAAGGGAATGTTGATACATAAGAAAAAGTTTAACAAGAAATTAGGGAGGTGAGAGGCACTAGAGGAAAGGGGAAGGAACAAATCGGAGGACCATTCCATATGGATGCAGCCCTGGGCTTCCTGATCTGGAAAGGTACCTAGACACGAGCCCAGCTTCAGAGGGAGAGGAGAGGGCCCAGGATTGGGAAGTACTGAGGACGCCTCACTCAGCTGGTTAAAGTTCTGACAGAAATACCACTACCTTTCTCACTGTCATAGTGTGCGATGTAAAACTCAATTTTGATGTGTTAAAAATCCAGTTGTGGGGACCAGCAGAAGGTGTAAAAGTTAGGTCACTGGACTCACACATAGTTGACCACAGTTTGGGTCCTGGACCTGGGGGCTTGAAAGTCACGTCGGGCCTGTGTGTGGACATGCCCAAATTCCCAAGAGGAGAATGAAGAAGGGACTATAGCATGGCCATCCCTCCTGGGGGCTGATTTCTCACTTTCTGTCTCTCTGTCTCTCTCTGTCTCTCTTAAAAAAAAAAAAATCCAGCTATGGGCTGGCGGTGTGGTGGGTAAGGTCCTGGATCCCATATGGCTGATTCCATAATTTGAGTCCCGGACCTGGAGGCTAGAAAAACCTGTGAGTGTGTGCTCGATATCCTGATAGGAGGATGGAGGAGTAGGGATTGCAGTGTGGCCACCCCACCCCAGGGAATGATTTCTCACTTTCTCTGTCTCCTTTGTCTCTCCAGGGAGCTCAATGTACCATATGGCAAAAATAGAAAATAAATAAATTTTTAAAAGTCCAACTGTATTGGTTTTCATAGAAATTTGGAATCAAGAGACTAGCAGTTGGCGTAATGGCTATGTCACTGGAGTCCCATGTAGGCGACTGTGGTTCAAGTTCTGGACCCAGTGGCTTAAACTCATGCCGGGCACGTGTATGTGCGTGCCCAAGATCCCAAGAGGAAAATAGAGGAGAAGGGATTGTGGCATGGCCATCCCCTTGGGG